AAGAAGTGTGACAGATACTCTAGGGCTCCTTTCCAACAGGCCATGCACGGCAGCCTGGGTTTCTCTATGAAGGGGCCATTGACTCCAATGACCAGTGGCTATTAGATTCTGGAATATTTTTCTTGCATTTCTAGGTCCACAGCAGGTGATGACACTGGTCTGGGTGTGCCCTACTGGCTTCTTTACTTGCCACTGGCTTCCTTACTCATTGACAATGATTAGGAATGAACTTTGACCAGATGACACCATTGCTCTCTCAAGACCTTTCTGCTGCTTCTTGAGGCAGAACTTTTGGACCATGTGACATATAAGAATGAGGTAGCTCAGGGAAACAATGCCCCAGCCTCCTCCCTGGAGCTCCTTCAGTATCAGTAGGAGTGCTGCAATTTGTTGGATGCAGGGATGTATATGAGGTCACATGTGGTAAACAGCTTGGTCTCTATTCTCTCACCTCCTGGCTCAAGTAACATAGCAACCAACAAGAAAGCAGGTGTAAAACACTCTAAGAAGAAAGTCTGGGGAGGGAGTTGAACGGATGAATGTGTATTTAAAGAAACATGGGTTTATCCAGCTTAGTGGGGAGTCCATGCTATAAATTAAAATGCTCCTTTATCCTGGAGATGTATATCGGTGGCACAGTACTTGCCTAGCTTGTTCATGACCCTAGGTTCAATCCCCAGCGTAATACACAGAAATTAATTAGTTGATAAGACAGTCAATCATAATGCTGTAGGCCTGAAATCCTAGGTAGTCAGAAGATTACAAGTTCAAGGTTAGCTTGGGCTAGAGAATAAGTTCAAGCCCATCTTTGGCAACCTAGTAAGACCTTATGACCTGGCCAACTAGTGAAAAAAGCCAGGCATTGAAGTTCACTACTTTAGACCCAGCACTTGGGAGGCAGAGGCAGGAGGATCTCTGAGTTTGAGGCCAGCCTGGTCTACAGTTCCAGGACAGCTGGGGATACACAGAGAAACTGTGTCTCAAAAAACCAAAGAAGAGTTTATATCTTTGTGTTAGAGTGCTTGTATGATGTGCAAAAGGCTCTGGGTTCAGTCACCAAGGCTAAAAAAAATTCCCAGCCATATTGGCTGAAGAGTAATGTGCACCCTTGCTCTTCTCTGGGTCCCTATCAGGTCAGGCTTCTTGGGAGACCCCAAACAGGCTAGTCTCCCCATAAAACTTCTTATGAGCCCTGAAAAAAACATGTATGGTAGTATTTGTGACCCCCCTACTGCAGATCCAGCTCTGGACTAAAAGAAAATTGGGATTGTCATATGGAAAGTATGACATCAGGGAGGCCTTGCTGTTGCTGCTGACCCAAGCTAAATGCAGAGTGCCTCTGAGTGTAAGGGAAGCTGCACCTGAAATCTTAGTCTTTGACCAGAATGTCTTCTCACTGATTTGGAAAACCTCTTGGGCCTGGAATGGTCTTTGCCCTCAGTCCTACCAGTTTTCATATTTGAACTATCCTCCTACTTCCCATGACCTTCCCATGGGAAGAGAAGACCCAACATGCCTGGGGTCTTTCTACTAACAGGGGTGTCTAAAAACATGTACCCATAATGCTCACACATGTACACACACACACACACACACACACACACACACACACACACACACACACACACCCCTCTGCGGGCATTGTGCACCCTCTTTAGCTCCTGAATTCCATACCACAGCTTGTGGAAAATGACAGCATCAGTGCTGCCAATTTCATCTCTGAGCAGTGTCCTCGGCAACCTCTCATAAACACATGCTCTCAGGCTGTCACCCTGTCAGCGATTTCTAGTTTTGATAAGTAGATCTTGCGACAGGTTTGAGCAGGACACCTGGCCTCCGGTTCTGTTGTGTAAGCTTTGCTGGCTTCCTGCAGGGAGATGGTGGTCATCCACCTAAATTAATTTTCTGGCACCCAAGAATGGCACATGACTCTCTGGAAGAAAATAAAAGGATTCTGTGAAAAATAAATAAAAAGATAATACACAAAAAGAATATATGAAAGTGGGTGGGGAATGCTTGTTGGTAAGAAAGATTTCAAAGGGAGAGGAAGGGGTAAGAGAAGGATATAGGGTGAAAATAACTAAAATTATTTATATAAATGTATGAAAGTGTTAATAATAAGAATAATAAATCAATCAATAATCAATGAATGGCTGTCTGGGTGTGGTGCCATAGTGTTCTAGAGGCAGACAGATCTCTGTGGGTAGGAGGCCAGCTTGATCTACATAGTGAGTTCCAAGCCAGTTAGCATTACACTCAGTTACTTACGGTTACCAGGGAAGAATGCTGGCAAGAAGTGTGCCAGGAGATATTAAAGGCAAAAAATGAAAATCTGGCAATACCTCCTTCTATAAAGTTAAATGTGTGCTTTCATGGGCTGAGCTGCGGTTTGTCATCAGGCATTATAGACAGAGGGACTGGAGAAAACACTAGTGCTTCAAGGTCACTTTCTTTGTAAAGGCCAAAGTAGAGGGATTTCCTTGTTACCTTGACTCAGGATGACTGGAACTTCCTATTTTTAGGGAAAAAAATGGTGTCATTCTCAACATTCAGTTTGGCGAGAGAAACTCCATTCATTGATCTTGTCTGCTGGAGCCTCCTGCAAGGGTTCAGCCCAAATCAGTGGCTTCCGATCCATATTGCCTAACTAGAGGAAAACACTTGCAAACTTCTGAAAGACAAGAAAGGACACTTGAACAACTGAAAGAGCATATATTCTGGTATGCAGTGATTCCATGTAAATAAGGTACAAGTTCTTCACAAATGATCGCATACATCTAGCACGATTTTAAATAGAGTTCCTTATTTATTTGTTTGTTTGTTTTGGTTGCTCGAGACAGAGTTTCTCTGTGTAACAGCCCTAGCTGTCCTGGAACTAGCCCTATACACCAGGCTGGCCTCGAACTCACAGAGATCTGCCTGCCTCTGCTTCCAGGATTCTTGGATTAAAGCTGTGTGCCACCAGTGCTCATCTAGATCACTTGATTTTAATTTTGAATAAGTAGGAGGAACTCTACTGAATAAAAACAGAGAAGTAGTGCTGGCAGGCATGTCCTGTAGAGGCATGGCACTGAGATAGAGCTCCCGATCCAAGGTACATGCCTCATACATAGGAATTACATGAATTACATAAATGCTAAAAGGATCCACCAAGTGACTCAGGACACTGGGGTATGATGGACTGTTTAATAAATGGTACGGGAACTGTCACTTTAAAAGCATCTGATCCAATCCCAGTTACTTCAGACGCCGAACCAGGTGGATCACAAGTTCAAGACCTGCCTGCCTGTGTTGTGGTATGAGTTAAAAGCCAGTTTGACAGTTTGGGCAACTTAGTGGAACCCTGTTAGAAAACTAAAAGTCAACAGGGTTATAGCTTAGTGGTAGAACACTTTCCTGGGTTTTTAAAATGAGGTCCTACTTTCACTCCCCAGCACCACAAAGTAAAAATTAAACATGAATGTACCTTAGGGTACAGTAATTCACACTTCAATATTTGCCTAAGACAAATAAAAACATATGCCCCAAAATATCCATAGCAAATTTCATCTATAATAGCCCAAACTGGAAATGGGCTAAGTGATAATCAGTAGAAAAAAATCAATAAAGCTACTATGGTCTATTTACACAATGGAATCGAACTCAGAAATGTTTAAAGAGCTAAATGCTGATAGTGCAACAGTATTCCAGCCATGTTGTATATGTCTCAATAGCATTATTCTGAGTTGAAATACACACACACACACACACACACACACACACACACACACACACGGAGAGAGGGGGGGTATGGAGGGCGGGAGGGAGGGAGGGAGAGATGCTGTATGATTCAACTTGTGTGGTATTCTAGACAACTTAAAACAAACTTTATGACAGATCACATGATGTCCTCTAGGGTTGGGAGTAACAAGATGACTGCAAAGAGCAGAAAGAATGCTTTTTCTGGGGATACAAATGGTCTCTTCTTTTGATAAGCAGATAGGCTATAGGGGTGCATGCCTTTGCCAAAACAATGGTATATTTTAAGATTTTAGTATTTCGTGTAAATTATATTTTAAAATAATGTAGTATAACTTGGATGGGCATGTATGAGACCCTAGTCTCTATCTCCAGTACTACAAATAATTGTGTATTCTAATTATCCATGTGTATATGTATACACACATGTATGTTACTATGCCTTAAGATCTAGTAATTTACTCCTACATATTTATATAATACAAATGAAAATGTATCCACAGGAAGCTTTACATAATTTAACAGCCACTTAAAATAACTAATTTGTTTTCTATCCAATAGAGCAATACAGTACTCATAAATATTTTGTGATTATATAATTATAAGGCATAACTAAAATGAACACCTCAGAATCCAGTGTCCAGTTTCATTAAAACCTTTCAATATGTTTCAGTTTCTCCCACATCCCTCAAAGTATCTGTGTTATTCTGAATTTTGTTTCTAGTTTTTTAAAGAGCAGAGGCAAGGACAAAAGATTTTCACCTTCAAAGGCTTTTGGGGTTGCAGAGTTAGCTCAAGGTCAACCTAGGCAACTTAGTGATACCCTGTCTCAAAATAAAATGTAAAGCGTGTGAGTGTGAGTGTGTATGTGTGTGTGTGTGTGTAGCTGGTTCTCTCATTCCATCTTTACGTGAGTTTGAGGGATCAAACTCATGCCATCAGGTTTATATGGAAAGCAGTTTTACCTGGTAAACCATCTCTCTGTTCCCTAGACTTTTACATTTTAATTATGGCATTTCTAGTATAGATTTAGTTGAACATTAATAATAATCCAGGAACTCACTGTAGCCTTTAAGCTAGTTAGAATTTTTTCATTTTATGTTTGAAATACTCAAGTGGGTTGTATAGCAAGGAGAGCTGACAGTGCCTTTGCTAGGGTTCCTGGTAGTATGTACCTGGCATGCAATCCACGGTACCTTGCCGACAAGAAAATTGAGGACCACTGGGTGGCGCAGGGATACCTAAAGGTGCTTGCCTGTAGGAGGGAAAGTGGAACGCTGTGAGAGTCCAGGACTCAGCGCTATGCTTCCCAGACGCCCGGAAGGCCCTAGTGAAGAAACTGCTCGCAAGGATCGAGAGCCTGCGGGAGTTGGGGCTGTTGCCCGAGGCCGCCGAGATGCGGCTAGCGACTGGATGGACGCCACGTGGGGCTACTAGAGGGTGGTTCCGGGAGCACTCGTCCTGGATCATTGCCTTTCTCCATCTGCACACATGCAGGCCAAGCTGGACCACTCGGAGGTGCTGGAGCTGAAGGCGCGCGCGGTGAGTAGCTGTGCCGTGTACCCGCAGGGGAGCAGGCCACTGGAGCCTGCCAGTGGTCTTGAGTGCATTTGCTCAGCCGGCCCAAGCAGCGCTGGCCTCGACTGTCCTGGTGTTGAACACCCTAGGTCCTGCTGGGCGGGCGGTAGCAATAGCTGCTTGCAGTACACGGAGCATTGCTTTCGATCTCCTATTTTCGGGCTAGAGCCGAAAAGGCTACTAAGGGCAAAATCTAAGGAAATCCTTGTCACCTGGTTACATACAGGAGATGTAAGAGTCACATACCAGGCGAACAGACCTCCTTCGCTGCCAAATTCCGGAACCACCTACTCTGGCTATGCCACTGTGTAAGGTCAGCAGATTTTAGGGTCTGCTGGGAAACACCCTGGCTGGACTGGCTGAAGACCCTTGGCCTGATTACAGGAGCTGGTTCGCAGAAGGGGCTCCTGTAATCCCATTTGCCCAACCTCCCAAGGTCCAGGAGTTAAACCACCTCCAACCTGAAAAAAAGCCTAAGAACTAAAGTGAGTCAGGAACCCTGAAGCTGCGTTTGATGCTGGCACTGGGCAGCTCAACTACTGGCCTAACCCAATGTCTAGAGGCCCCGTTGATGACCACCATCAGTGTAAGGCCTTCAGGAGTGTGCATGCCTTCCCAAATTTTAATCATCTATGCTTAAAGTTCAGATGTGGCTAGGTGCAGGATCCTGTCGTACCTCCCTGCTCCCCCGCCCCCCCGCTGCCCCCCCCCCCCCGTCCTCCTTTCCCCACCAGTAAATCGGTTTGGAAGGCAGCCTCTGATGACTGGCCTAGTCTTTATTCATGTTACTGAGGGGTGTGTCTGTGTATTGATGTGTAGTAAACCCCTTTTAGTTGTATATAATTGTATAGAAAGTAATGGATTTTCATTACGGGCTTTTCATACATAGTTTTTGCTGATTCTGTCTCCCCACCCCCTCCAATTCCTTGCCCCCTCCCACTGTCCCTCTCTTCTGCTTTCATATGACATGCATTTTGTTACCCTCTTTTTTCTTTCTTCTACTCACTCCATAAGACCTCTTTTTCTGCTCTTGTGATCTGTTTTCTAGTTTCATCACAGACACACACACACAAACACACACACACACACACACACACACACACACCCTGGAGTAATACATTTATGGACCGTACTGAGGCAGGTGCATAAGAGAATCTTGTAGAGCTATCAAAGCTTCCCACACATGAGCAGACAAGATGGCTCAGCAGGTTAAGAGTGCTTGCTGCCAAAGCCCAGGGCTTGAATGTCATCCCTGAAACCCAGAAGGTGGAAGGAAAAAAAGCCAACTCCTACAAATTGTTCTCTGGCCTCCACTGGACTATGTACTAGTATCCTTGTGGGTAGGGTTAGGTCTCGGCTGTCCTGAACTGAACAGAAGCTTCAATTTGTGACTTAAGCCAGATGGCTAGAGCAGGCCGGTTTATTCTACAGCATTGCTTAGTTACCAGAAAAGAGAAAGGTTTTCCATACAACTTGTTTGCCACACACTTGATTTTGTGTTTTCAGCCAGTTGCCACCAAACATTCCAACTGCATGAAGAATTTCAAATTTACGTTTGAGGAAAAGAAAAGATGGGCATGGTGGCACACACCCATAATCCCAACTTTCAGGATACTGAGCCAGGAAGATGGAGCTTTGGAGACCAGCCTGGGGTACATAAGATGTTTACATCAGCAAGAACCATAGCAATAAAGAGGAAGGGCATGAGGGGAAAGACGACGGGTGTAAAATTTAAGAACATGAACTTAGGCTATTCCAAGCAATGTGTTATGCGGCTTTGGATGGACATGGGTAATTACACAGTCGTCTTCTTTGGTGAACTTTGTTGTTGTTGTTTGTTTTGCTTTGCTTTTCTAACAGGGTCTCTCTGTAGCCCTGGCTGTCCTAGAACTTGCTATGTAGGCCAGGGTGGCCTGGGAACTCACAGAGACCTGGCTGCTCCTGCCTCCCAAATGCTTGATTAAAGGCGTGAACCACCACCACCTGGTTTTCAGGGAGCTTTTGCTTGACTATAGGCTCTTTGCCAAGTGTAATGGCTTTAGGAGTCTCTACCAACTAGTCAATTAGCACTCCAGATACAACTTTTTTCATTGTTTCTAGGTGCCATCCTTCATTCATTCGGAGTTAGCAGGGGGTAGAAGCGAAACAACCAGGGGGAGATAATGCTGCTTCTGATGCCTCCTCTTGTTCCTCACTCTGAGATCCCAACCCAGGATCTCCTGTCTTTGAAAGGGAAGTGAATAAAACTTCTGGGACTACCTTAGTTTGAAAATTCTTGCTTGCTTCTAAGGCAAATTTTGAGATTTGTGATGTTGCTTAGCCTGTTGTAGAAAAAAAAATTAAGTAGACATAAGTGAATGAAAACACTTTAAACCCTCTGAATTTTTGATTTAGTGAAAATGACATTTTGTATCATAACTTTGCAATTTTTTGGAAATGTAACATCTATCACAGATCTCCTTGTACATTATTCGTGGAATAGTATAAGAAATATATGTTAGATTTGCATGCTAATTTCAATATATATTTTACATTTGAAATGTTGAAATATCAAAGTTCGTTTAGTGGGGGAAATATTACACATATAAATGTATTTCAGTGATGTAAGAATGCATAATTCTACATATAATTCTACATTTCTACAGCTGTGAAATGCAACGTAGGCCATTGTCGTAGCTAACTCTAGTATATATAATTGGTAACATTTTTAAGACATTAGCTAGTCTTTATTTTGATTGTGTGTAGATATGTCTACATGTGTGTATGTGAATGTGGATGCAGGTGCTCGTGGGGGTCAGAGGCATGTGATCCTCCTGGAACTGGAGTTATCAGGCAGTTGTGAGCTGGACAACATGAGTGCTGGGTACTGAACGCAGAACCTCTGTAAAAGCAAAGCCATCTCTCCAGTCCTGAACATTTCTAATTTGTTTATTATTAGTGTGTGTATATAACTGTGTGTGAGCTCAAGTGTGTCATAGAGTGTATGTGGAAGTCAGAGGACAACTTGTTTGGTTCTCTCCTTCCACCTTTATGTGGTTTTTGAGGATCAAGCTCAAGTCATCAGGTCTGCAAGGCAAGCATCTTTACCCACCATGATGGTTTGAAGGAGAATGGCTCCCATAAGCTCATATGGCCCCTAGCCGGTGCAGCTGTTTGGAAGGTGTGGCCTTGTTGGAGGAGGTGTGTCACTGGGGGCCAGCTTTAAGGTTACAAAAGCCCTAGCCATGCACAGTTAGCTTTCTCTCTGCCTCCTGCTTTCGGGTAAGGATGTAAGCTCTCAGCTACTGTTTCGGGGCCATGCCTGACTGTCATGATGTTCATGGATTCACACTCTGAAATTATAAGCCCCAATAACCTCCTTTTATAAGTTTCCCTGGTTATGGTGTTTTGTCACAGTGATCGAATAACTAAGACACCTACTAGACCATCTTGTGGGCCCTATTTTCTATTTCTTAAAGGTAAATGAAAGTGGCAAATTAGTAATTGCTATAATGTTGCATTTTGTATGATAGGTATTTATGAAAATGTGTGCCCAGTCACAAACACACAGTTCTGTAGAACAATTTTAAATGAGATGTTGTGCTATCCCCAGTATTTCACCTTTGACTTACTCTGGATGGCTTCGAGTATTCAAAAGTCTTTTATGCTTCCATATATATTTTAGATACTGATGTTCTATTTTTGTGAAAAAATGCCATTAAATTTAGGGAGGGTTATTGTATTGAATCTGTAGAACACTTTCAGTAATATAGCAATTGCCTTTACCAGTCCTTGGCATACTATCATTCACTGTGTGATCATTAGCAAGGCCTCAGTTTTCGAATACCATACAGGACCTGAGAATCAAGAGGTAGTGGCTTGCTGCTGATCTCATTTGACTGGCTGTACTTTTAAACTTCTAAGAGGTGAAGGTAGAAGAATCACAGACTAAGTTCCATCTTGTTTGGCTTAGCTTGATATTAATTCTGAAATGGATTGGATTCGAATAGTCTTCAGTATTTCCTGTATTTATTTTATTTTTTCAGTACTGGGTATTAAATCTAAGTCACCAGACATTCTTCTCAGGTGCTCTGCCACTTAGCGATTTCCCCAGCCCTCTTTTCACTTTTTACTTTGAGATATGTCTCATTAAGGTGGTTGAATGGATTTTCAATACACCCTGAGCTCAGGTATACCTTGACTGTCTGATTGATCTTCATGCCTTAGCTTCTTAAGTAATGGGGCTTACAAACCTATTGCATTAAGCCTTAGCATGTGTCCTTTTAGTGCACAGTTAGGTAGGTACTTGGAGTTAGGACCTACTTATAAGTAACTAAAATCTATTTGTTCTTAGAAGCCATGATGAACCAAAAGTTGTCTCCCAACAAATATTAAACTACCTGAATAATCTAATGTGCTAATATAGCCAGTCTTTGGCATTGCTCTCTGCAATCTGGGAGAGTGATTTAGTTCTGAAAGCTTGAATTTCTCTTTTTTTCTTACCTTTCTACAGAATTGAGCTCTAAGCCCTAGGCAAGATCAAGAGGAAAAGCAGCTAACAGTACCTTATATCAGCTTCTTCAAAGTCGATAAAGACTGGAGGAAAAACAACTGGAAAAGCTGTACTCATGTGGCCACACATGTGAACTATCTGGAAAGATACCAAAGGACAACCTTTACTTGAGGTAAAAGGCAAGTTAAAGGTATGTTTATTTTTTCTACCTGGGTTTTTGTAGCCATCTTTCCAGGATTAAGAAGAGCATTAATTTTGCAGTTAATAGTAATTTATTTCTAAAAAAGTATCTCTTACTTCTAGGGATAATACTGTATAATAATGGACAGAGCACAGGACTACCTCATCTGTAGTCCTCCTGATTTTTCCATGTACTATATATATGAGTTTAATGTTACTTAACTTCATCATATATAAACTGAGAATTAAATATTTAGTAGATATGATCTCAATAATATATTAATTGTGTTCCCACCAGTGAGAAGAAGGATCCCTCTTTCTCCACATTTTTTACATTGTCAGTTTCCTTGATGATAGCCATTCTGACTGGTTTGACGTGGTAAATATCCTACCATAGAGATACTTTAACATCCATATTGATTGCTAGTCTACATACCATAACAGGGAAATGGAACCAGCTTAGGTGACCATTAATAAATGAATGGATAATGAAAACATGGTACATTTACAAAATAGAACATTATTCAGCTATAAAGAAAAAAGAAATTATGAAAATTTCAGGAAAGTGGATAGACTTGGAAAGTATACTAAGTGAGATACCCAAACTGCATGTTTTCCTTCTTATGTGGATGTGCTTGGGCGTGTGTGTGTGTGTGTGTGTGTGTGTGTGTTACGTGTATATAGAGCATGACATTTACAAGGAGACCAAGACAGGGTAATATTCAGTGATGAAGAAGGATGGAATGCAGGCAAAAAACACGTGAGTCATGAATGAGGATATAATGCTATTTTTTCTAGTTTCAACTCTGTCATAGTTTTTTTTTCTTTTTTGTGGAGGACATGTGTCCAAAACTGTAACAGATAGTTGAAATGTAAAACCCTAAGGGAAGTTCCACGGCTTCACAATGGCCAGTTTAACTGGGAAGAAGTTCACTGAGATGTACAGAGTTTGGACTAGGCAAATGCTTATTTGAGTGGTCACCTCAATAAAGCTCTGTGGTGATTTTTATCACAATAAAGTGATGTTAGTTAATAACAAAATAATTTTAAGATTTCAAAATCCTGCCCAGTAGTGGTGGTACACACCTTTAATTCCAAGACTCAGGAGGCAGAGGCAGACAGATCTCTGTGAGTTCAAGGCCAGCGTGGTTTACAGAGTGAGATCCAGGACAGCCACATCACAGTGAAACCCTGTCTCAAAAAACTAAAATAAATCATTGGAGATTAGTAGTCATAAAAGGGCAATTTATGAGACCTAGTAGTTGAATAATAAATAAGTAGTGTATTAAAAATGAAGACAAACAGATGTGTAGAATATACCTGGGGTAACAAACACAATGTTCTTCCTGATCCACTTACAGATACAGGAACCTCTTGTGGCAACTGGTCTCAATACCGATATAGTGAGGAAAGCAGACATACCTTCCAAAATAACTTGACTATAAGTTAGCAGAAGGCTAAATAGAATTGTAATGAGTAAAGTTACATATTTCTTTTTTAAACTCTGTTCTGCCTTGGAGGTAAATATGCTCTTGCCATCTTGGGTAGATCCCAAGGCACTGTGCCTTCCCTGCTATGATGGCCTATATATCCTCACACCTTCTGAGCCCAATTAAATCCTTCCTCCCTTAAGTTGATTCTGTCAACTATTCTCTTATGGTGAGGATAACAGTAAATAATGTAGAAAATTGATACCTTGAGTGGGCTCACAGCTATGTTAAACCTGGCCATGTGATTCAAAGTCTTCAGAAATTGTTTAGGAGAAAAATGTGGAAGAGTTCGGGCCTACAAACTAGAAAGCCCCCAAATATAGTCAGGAGAACTTAAGGGGCCATTCTGGTGAAAGTTGAGAAAACCAAAACGCAGCCTGGGCTGGAACTCATGACTGGAGGATTTGCCTAGCATGTGAGAGTCCCTGGGTTCAAACCCCCATGCACCCAAAGATAGTAAACTTAACAGCAAACAGAAAACCAAAACCCACATACAGCAGTGGACATGAAGGTCTGACACTTTAGGTTTCAGAAGTGAAAAAGGGCTTTATTGGTAATAGTCTCTTGTCACTCATGTTACATTCTGGCAGATAATATGGGTATAATATCTACATGTTCTGAAATTTTGAGTGAGGCTAAATTCAAAGATACTGCACCAATTTATTTAGCTGGGCATTGGTGGCCCACGCCTTTAATGCCAGCACTTGGGAGGCAGAAGCAGGCGGATCTCTGTGAGTTCAAGGCCAGCCTGGTCTACAGAGCAAGTTCCAGGACAGCCTCCAAAACAATACAGAGAAACCCTGCTTCAAAAAGCCAAAAAAATAAAAATAAAAATAAATAAAATTAATAATTAAAAGTAGAATGTTTGAAATGCGAAGACCCTCCAGAGTACTTTGCTCAAACAGGGAAATGGTTTCCTTAGTTTACCCACTCAAGCACTTGGAGGCCACAAGTACACCATGTGGTGCTAGTTTTACAAGCATACAAAATGCAATGGTCATGTGATTATGAAGGTTTGACCCAAAACTTGAGAGGGAAAAGCCTGTGAGGCTAGGCGATGTTTAACAGTTATACACCCTGAAGAACAGCCCTGGTAGGCTGCTGTATGCCGCTGTTAAAGTGAGCCCTAAGGCTGCAATGAAGACACTAGGATAAAGAAGATGCCAGAAATGTTGAACATCTGCTGAGGAAAGTGGAAAACATTGAGTAGAGTCACACCAACAGAGAGAATATGTATGTTGCAGGAAGCAAGGCTGGAAAGCCAAGGTTACCCAAACCTAACAGAACCTACATTATGCCATCATGAGCACTAATACTGGACATGGAGCTGCAGAAATCGATTGTTCTGAGGGGTTCTGATCTTGTTTATGTCTGCTCTTGCTCTTCTTCCACTCCTTACTTTTGAGACAGGAATATTTATTCTGTGCCATATTTTGTGTATATTAGAAGTATGTAACTTGGATCTTTTATTCTCTTTAAATTATTTTTATTCTATGTATATAGGCATTTGCCTTCATGTAAATGTAGCAGGTGCATGCACTCCCCACGGAGGCCAGAAGACGGTGTTATATCCACCGCAACTGGATTTACAGATGGTTGTGAGCTGCCATATAGGTGCCAGGAACTGAACCTAGGTCCTCTGCAAAAGCACCTAGTGCTCATAAACTGAGCCATCTCTCCATCCCTGGATTTTTTTTAACTAGAGCTTACAGCTAAGAGTTTGCCTGAAACTTTGAATTTTACAGACTTGGATCTCCTCATACTCATGTTGAGAATATTAAGACTATGGGTGTTTTTGAAGTTGGACTGAATATATTTGTATTATGAGATAGCCATGAGCCTACGAAGGAACACTACAGTCTGAATATAAGGTTCATGTGTTGGACCAGTTGGCCCCCAGCTTGTGGTGCTGTTTGGAGAGGTTTCCAAACTCTGAGAAGGTGGAGCTGAGCCCATGAAGTCCATCACTGGAGGCAGGTCTGGAGAGTTATAGCCTGGACCTGCTTCCATTTCATCTCTGCTACCTAGCCCAAGTTATGCATCAACAAGCTGCTATGCACTGTTGTTGCTGCCACGGATGGAGGCCCCCCCGCTGCCATGGATGGACCCCCCGCTGCCGTGGATGGAGCCCCCGCTTCAATGCCTTCCCTCCCAGGATCAACTGTATCTCCTCAAACTGTAAGCCAAACTAAAACCTTTCCTCCCTTGAGTGTTTCTATCTCACAGTGAGAAGATAATTAATATGAATGCTAGCCAATTTCTAGTATTTTATCACCAACATCTTTGATTTATAGAAGCACGATATGATTGTCTAGCGTCTATAACTTCTCTTTGTCTCTAAGGCCCTGTGGTTGGTGATAACAGAGCTACTGTAAAAGTTCTGTTTATAAAAGATAAAGCATTTCTTCCTTCCAAGAGCCTTTCTTTGTAAAGCCTAATTAACAAAGATCACTAAAATTAACATTTGTAATGTAAATAACTCTTTATAAGGGTGTGGACTTATAAAACATAAGTTTCCAGGAAAAACCTCCCTAGCACCTTAAGAGACTAACCAAGGTGTCGTCTCAAAGTGTAATCATTTGCTTAAAGAGGAGCAACTCTTCTTTTTGTGAATCTTATGGACTTCAGCTACCTCAATTTGCAGATGAATTTAGGATGAGCTGAAGTGAAAAAAAGAAACATTAAATTTGCGTTGAAAGATATGTTTTGTACTAGTTAAAAACTCCTGTATAACCTGTGCCAAATGTCCTACTTTTATTAGATAAAAATTATAGGAGGCCATTGTTTGGGATTCTATGCTCCTGGAGGAAGCCCCAGCAAAGTATATAAATATCGAAATATTGTTACTCATACTGAAGCAAGTTATCTGACCTTCCAAAACTGAGAGATAAAACACAATTTCTCAAACAGGCCAGTTACAGTAGGAATGAAAATGAACTCCTCCCTGTCTCCCCAAAAGTAGCCTGAAGTAACCTAAAAGTAACCAATCAGTGCCTTTTGTTGTGTTCTCTGTATATATCCTCTGCAAAAGAACCTTAAAACAACTAATTCAAGTTTGTTATTTGTGTATGCTTTCTTCGGCTTCTCTTTGTTTGTAACTCTTCTATTCACTTCATTGGAACATTTTTTTCTGTTTTGTGAAATGAAATGCTGCCTAATTCAAGCACCTCAAAGCCACTTATAGATGTTTAAGATATATTTGTTGTATTCTGCCTTTTGACAGCAATCTCGCTGATTGCCTATGTGCATGACATAAGTATGGTTATTAAATAATCAAACATAATTATTTTCTATGCTCTGTAGAGAGTATCCTGTTTTGGTAGCATTTTTACTTCCTGAATACCACAGATGCCCACAGATATGAAAAAGGATGAAAAATATTAGGAGAAAAAAGTCCAGGCAATGTATGTAATACCTACTTATCTAGACTTGAAAGCAGCTAGAAACCTGAATTCACACACAAATCAAATCCAAGGTAAAACACCAAGCTAGGAACTGTGCCTGCAATCAGAAGACATAGAATTGTAAGGTATGTGGAATGGAGCAAGCACACCTGGCACCAAGCACATATAGCTATGTCAAGGACATTCAAGGGAGAATAAACAGTGAAAGGTAAGGAAAAATAGGGTAGTCAAATATTCAAGTATAGTCAGCATTTCTTCTATGGCCAAAGTGGATGAGGTAAAACAAAAAGCAATACGTTGTTTCCTACATTGACAGAATACTATGTACAAAGTTGTTCTGGCCAGAGGATTCATGTATATTCTGTGCTCAATAATAGGGCTGGCCAAGAGCACTACAAAGAACATAAAGGAAAGTGGTAATTTCTACCAACAATGTGACAGTATTTCTAGTTCATTAAAATTAATTCCAACTCTCCATTTTTTGGTAACTTTAGGATGAGCAATTTCACCAAGCAACACTTGCCACAAATCTGAAGATAACTCTACGTTTCTTAATTTTATTTTTTAAAAAGTGACATAAGCAGGGATATGGTTAAAACTAACTGCATATGGTGAAAAAATGATGCAGTTATTGTAAAAGGATAAATTCAATTTTTTACACAGGAAATATCTATTGTATGTAATTTTAAAAATTTAACTAATACATATATATAAGCCTATACCATATTTGTATATGACCTGTGTGTCTGTTCTGATGACTTTCTGTCTTATACTAATTATTAAATATTTTCAATATCTTCTTTCTATATATGCAGAAAATGTTCACCAAACTCTAGCTGTGATATCTCTCACTCCTGCATGTTCTAGAATTCTGCTTTACTGTCCCTTAAAATAAAACCAACAATAACACTAAAAAGAAAAACAAAGCGTTAATCCATGTTGTCCATTTCCCTCAGGGTGTAAGAAAGTGATTCTCAAGTCTTACAGTGCATTAGAACTGTCCAGGTACTTTAAGAGCTATGGAAATTTTCTTTCAATTGGCCATGGTAGGTATGAACACAAATATATCTTACAAATATTCCAGGTGAGCCTAATATGCACACAGAGTTGAGAAAACCAGACTATTTGAAATTGAATATTGGCTCTGTCATTTATTCCTCATATAGACAAAATACTCAGACGATCTGTGTTTCATTTTTCTCACCTAATAAAAACCTGTTAATGTTAATAGCAAATAGCTCTTACAGTTTTGTGAGATTAACCCTATATGCCCCACATACACATACAATGTCATACAGTTCCTTCTGTTCTCTGATAAGTATTGTCATCCTGGATCTTGTAGCCGACCCTCTTCATTCAGCATCTGTAACAGAGTGCAACCAAACATACCCTATTTAACAATATATCAGTTACAAAAATTATTTGGAAATACCTTTTGTCTCTCAAAAAAGCAACACTTAAACATATAGGGATGCACTCCCTGAAACCAGGAACCTCCAGCTAACCAAACTTTAAAATTATCATTCTAGAGAACAACAACTTGCTTAAGCTTAAACATTTTTTGGTGCCATAGACAATAGCATCTTGGGGCAGGAGAATGTTCTGTATTTTTGGCGAGGCTCATTTGTTCTATTATCTGTCCTCAATCCATGTGCTAACCTAGCAAAACTTGTGAAAGGTTAGATGATGTATGGCAGAATGGGGAGATGTAATTAATGGGAAGCGAGTGTTACATTTGGGTGTTGTATAGCTAGACTCATAAGTGGGAAGTAGCCCTTTCATAGCAAGGAAAAATGATGACAAAAGGTTAAGCACAAAAAATCAAGTCCAAGAGAAATCTACTACATAAAAGAAAAACATGTAATGAAATACTATTTTCTTCAGGAATTTATTTCTTCATCTATAAAATAGAAATTAAAATGTACACAGGTAAAATATTTAAAAATATCCATATATTAAGGAGTACTGTTCCTGGCACTTAAGTTCTCAAATTCTCAACAAGTGCTCTTTGGATATATCATTATTCATTCCCGCCACTCAGAAGAATAAAGATGAGAAGAGTTTGACGAAATTCCATGCATTCTGTTTAATTCAATGTGCTCTCTCTCTCTCTCTCTCTCTCTCTCTCTCTCTCTCTCTCTCTCTCTCTCTCTCTCTCGTGCCATAGTATGAATAGACACTATGTAGATTTTCTGCTTCTGCTTAAACTGAGTAGCCTAGGAATTTGATTGGTCAGCTCTGGTGGTAATTGATTGACATATTGGCTTTTTTGCACTCAGGAGAAAGATACTGAAGCTTTATCTACAGCCCAGAATTGTTCTTAATGCTGTGTTCACAGCAAAGCAGTTTTTTTTCTTTTTGTTCATGTGTTTGGTTGTATTGTTTTTGTTTTGTTTGAGACAGGATCACACTATTTGTTCCAGCTGTCCTGGAACTCACTATGTAGACCAAGCTGGCCTTGAACTCACAGAGATCTGCTTGCCTCTTCCTTTTATGTACTGCACCATGCCTGGCTGCAAAATAGTGTTTTGTTGCTTTGTTTTTTTTCTTTTTTTCTAATATTTTTTATTTAAATTAGAAACATTCATGCTTCACATGTCAATCCCAGCTCCCTCTCCTTCCCCTCCTCCCTTGTCCCTCTACCAGTCCCCCAGACCCCCACCCAATCCCCACACCATTCCCCAGGGGAGGGTAAGGCCCTCAGTGGTGGATCTCCAAAGTCTGTCATTTCATCTAGGACAGGGCCTAGACCCTCCCCCATGTGTCCAGGCTGAGACAGCATCCCTCCATGTGGAATGGGCTCCCAAAGTTCATTCGTATGTCATGGTAAATACTGATCTACTACCCAAGGCCCCAGAGACACCACTTTCAGGGGTTCTGGATCAGTCCCATGCTGGCCTCTCTGCTATCAGTCTGGGGTCCAAAAGCTCCCCCTTGTCAGGTCATCTGTCTCTGTGGGTTTCACCAGCACAGTCTTGGCCCCTTTTGTTGGAATTTCGGGCAGATCAGGATAGGTCTGGTATTCTGGCACTCGGAGTCACAGAATACTGAGTGTTACACAACTCAGGTGGAAAGGTATCCTGGAGCTCGGGAGCCAAGGACCACCACAGGTTGCAGTAAACTTAGCTGCTTACAGCCCAGCCTCAGTGAAAGTCTTCCCCAGTGTATCAGCTCTGCTCCTGCAGGACAGGGTCTTCCAGCTGGGGATGTTCGCCCAGTATAGCGGTTTTGCTCCGCAGGAGATTTCTCGGGTGAAGTTGCTACAGTTCAGCTCTGCTCCTGGAGAGCGGAGAGAGGAGCAGAGAGCGGGGAGCAGAGTGTAACAACTCCGCCAAAGGAAGGTTTCCCCGGCAAAAGTGTTACAGCCCTGCTAGCTCTGCTCTGCTCTGCCCAGGATCGCCTCTGCTGCTCCGTCGCAGCCGCAAAAGAAGATCTTCACCCAAAGCTCATTGAAGGGGTATATTGGAAGGGAAGAATCCAGGAGAGTGGCTGCCCTGTGGCAGAGGACAGCCTGGTAGTGCTAACAGACACAAGCTGAACAGACACGGTGTTTATATAGGGCTTCCAGGGTGGGGATTGGTTAGATTTTAGTGCTGAGCTCAGATTGGCTAGAATTCTGCTCAGGGATTGGTTAGTTTTCTGCACAGGATTAGGGTCATATTTGGCTCTGGTTTCAAAGCCAATGTGTGTTTCTTTCTCTGGTCCTTTTTAGCCTTTTGGCTCCAATTTTAGGGCCAGGGTACATTTCTTTCACTGGCTCTGATTCCAAGGACA